GTTTCGCTTTCCCCCCCCCCCCCCTTCCCTCTCTCTGCCGTTTCCTCCCCCCATGCATACGATCAGCCGTGTCGTTGCTGCAGATGCTGATCCACCCAATGAACGCCTTCCCGTGGGTCATCAATGGCATCGTCGAGGCTGGCGTGTCGAGGACCCGCCTAGAGAAACTCCTGTTCCTCCCTAAAGGCACGGTGGCAGTGTCGTGTGAAGGGAGCCACCGCGTTGGTGGGGTCGAGAGGTGCGACCGATTCCTACCTTCAAAGCGTTGTGTCTTGTGTTTCAAGGCACACACTATAACCGTTTTGAAGAGCTCGATGCCTCGCTTTCGTCTCCACGTTTGTGTGCATTGCACATCCAAACCGGTAACTTCGATCCCTTCTCACTTTTCATCATTCGAAACTTTGAGGACAACACATGTAAGCGGAGGTGTCAGGCCACGAGCGGAGGAAAAACCAATAGCTGATCCTCATGTGATTTTTTTGCAGCGATTCCGATGACGACAGCAAAGATGCGCATGATCTCCTCATCTCTTGGAGAGGCGCAACCGTCGCGTTGTCCCGTGAGCATCAAAAACGGACATCAGCCGGGGACGTATGCTCCGTATCCCCTGTTTCCGACGGAGAACGCCGGGCGGAAACCCTCGGTTCTCTCATGGAGGGGAGCATGTTGGAGCCGTTGTTGCGGCCGGAGGAGTCGAGCGCGGAGGAGCAATCACCAGAGGAACAGCGTGAAGGGAGAGGCGAAGAAGGACCTACACCAGAGTTTTCCCTTCATGGCGTTTCTCTCGAGATTCGGCGGGGAGAGGTAAGGCCGCGAAAGAGAGTGCAAGAAATATGAGCTAAGTCGTGTTAACTTGTATGTCACCTGCTAGGAACACACAGCAACGATGTGGACCAAACATCTCTCGTCGCGTTTTGGTTCGAGTTGCCCCTGATAGGTGCTCAATCATCCCACAGTGATCCACCCAACATGCCCACTGCAAGAAGCCGTATTTTAGCGAAGGCGCGGTGAGTCAGTAACCTCGACGCATGTCTACCATTTCCTGGAACAACCCCTACTCACCCACGATAACCGCCATATCGTAGTTGCCTCGCCTCCTGGTCCACGCGAACCATAGATTTCGTGTTGCCGTTAACAGCTTTGATTATGTCTTCCTTGCCCACAACTGCATCGATCTACCCGATACCCCCACAAACCAAACGACCCTTTCTCGGGCGGAACAAAAAACGTAACAGACCGTTGCGATCGCGGGTGGAGTAGGCAGCGGCAAGTCTACCCTGTTGGCGGGAATTCTCGGTGAGCTGCCGGTTTTCCAGACCGTCAACGCCGACAGCAACAGCACCAACCACACCAGCAGCAGCCGCAGCAGCAATTTTGGTCGTGATGAAAGCGGTGCGGCGCTTCGAGGCCTACGAACGAATGCCGTGGGCTTTTGGAGCGGTATCGATCGTGATGACAACGACAGCAGTATTGAGGCAAGACGAGACAGGGAATCAGCAAGAGGAGTCTGGGACAGCAGCAGGGAAAAACAACCTCGACGCCCATCGCGGACGAGAAGAAACAGCAGCGGAGGACAGGCAGCGCGGGGGGTGGTGGTACGGGGGCCGGAGGGACGGGGGCCGGGAGATCCGGGGGCCACAACCAGGGTGTGTTACGCCGCGCAGAACCCGTGGGTGATGAGCGGGAGCGTACGAGAGAACGTGCTCTTCGGGCTTCCGATGGATTGCGAGCGATACCGGTGAGAAACAAATCGCGATATTATTCAAAGGTTGTGTTTCTCTCTTTGCCTCTCGTTCCTCTCCCTTCCACTCTCTCTCTCTCTCTCTCTCTTCTCTCTCTCTCTCTCTCTCTCTCTCCCCCTCCGTCCCCCCCCTCCCCCCTCCCTCTCTCCCTCTCTCTCTCTCTCCCTCCCTCTCTATGAGGTGTAGTTTTCGCGGTCACGATGTGTGCGTGGAGACGAGCAAGATGAACGAATACATTAGTTTATGTTAGGCGTTGTTCTTCGACACGGAGCGACGGTTCTCCTTCCGGAAAGTGCATGGTGTTGTATGCCGCGCGTGTGTGTGTTCCCTTGTTCAACTATTTCATTCCGTGGCAAGGGGAAGGAAGAGGAAGGGGATGATTCACGGAAGGCGAAAAAATAATTCTGCGACGCTGCTCTTTCGGGTCCGACATTGCAGCTTTGCTGACCTTCCACCAGCTGACGGACCGAGGGATAGATTGTACGATCGGCGGCTTGTCGTGTCACACTTGCAAAGTCGGCTCCTAACCTTTCCAGGTCACACACACAGGGTCGCGGGACGCTGTATGAAACCATACCCTATCCTCGCCCCGTACCGACCGCACGAACGACTATCCTGCACCAACTGATGCTCTATGCAGAGAAGCCCTCGACGCGTGCGCGCTCGGGGCAGATTTGGCCAGCATTCCAGGGGGGGACACGGCTTACGTCGGGGAGCGGGGAGCAACACTCAGCGGCGGCCAGCGCCTTCGGGTCTCCCTGGCAAGGCAAGCACGCAAGGGCGGGGTGTTCTCTGTTTTTCTCGGACTCGCGGGCTTTCGAAGTCGAGCAACCTACTGCGAACCGCCAACTAGCCACACCTTGAGTCACGAAAGTAATATCTGTGAAGGTGCAATGGTACTTAACGTGAAGTGGACTCAAGGGCTGTGTGCACAGTACACGTATGTGCGTGCGAAAGCGAGGGACTGGCAGAACAAAGTATACGACCTATTTCCCCGTTGTTTCTTGCGATGCACGCCGATGGTCAGATGCGCTTACTTCGTGTCGGCAGCTGCCGTTGCTGATGTCGCCGCCAAGTCAGCGGCACTCGGGAACAACCTCCCCGGCGACGACGACACCAAGAGCGGCACCGCTTTGGCGGATGACAACGATGGCGGCGACGGCGGCGATGTCCACCACTCCGCGGGCACTCTGTGCCTCCTAGACAACCCCCTTACCTCTCTCGATGCCGAGACCCGGGAGCACGTCCTTCAGCACTGCATACACGGAGTCATGAGGCGCGGAAACCCCGGGGTGGCCGTTGTTGTTACATGCGGCGAGATCGACCCAGCAGAAAAAGAACAACGTGAGACACGCTGGAGCATTCTTCTCTCCGGTAGTTCAGCCCCCCCCCGCCGCTGAACGGCGTTTTGAAGGTATGGTTTTCAGATTATCGGAAACGTTGTTGATTTTTTTTTTATGTTTTACCTTCCGCCCTTTCTTTGTCAGCGACGGCCACGAAGGAGCGGGGCGCGACGGTACCGCCTCTTCCGCTGTCTCCGTCTATCAAGCGGTCCTTCGACCGCGTCGTCCGGTTGGGGGGGATCGGGGGCGAAGGCACGAGACTCGAGACGGCGGCGGACGCTGGAGAAGGAAAACTACCCTTGCCAGGAGCCGACGCCAGCGCAGAAAGAAGAAGAGCACCACCACCAGCAGCAGCAACAAGCCCATCGGTGCTGATATCGGCGCCAAAACCAACGTCGGAAGCGGCCTCCTCACGACCAGCAGCACCGGCGGCCGCCCCCCAAGCAGCCGAGAAGGTGACTTCGAACCTTGTGAAGCACGCCTCCGGCGGCGGCGGCGGCGGCGGCGGCTGCTGCCCTGAAATACAAGGCGCCGGGCGGAGCAGTGAGGGCGATGGCTTAGCAGACAGCAGTGGAGACGTGTTGCTGCCGTGCGGTGGTAGTGAAGCTTTGGAAGCCGGGGATGGAAACGGGGGTAGTGGACCCGTTGAAGAAGAAGACAGAAAGGACGGCTCCGTGGAGTTCAGAGTAAGTCGGAGGCGCGTTTTTTGGCCCGGAGAACCATGGGCCTCAAGTTGGTCGATGTAGCCTGAGCACAGTTTTTTTCTTGGGCTGTGGTTGCGAAAACGACCCGGAATAACGCGCTTTATTCCGTGAGACGCGCGGGTTGTTTGGGTCTGCTCGATGGCAGGAGGTTTCGGTATTGAACACAAGAGAGGGAAAGGGGCGCTCCACCGTGGAACTCGGGGGTTAGCTGCTTGAAGGGAGTGGGCCAGGTCGTTTTGTGCAATTTCCACCCACGAGACGGCGAGAACGACAATGAGAACAAAAGATAGAACAAGCTTGTCAGGAACGCGGTGTCTTCCCTCGTTTGTTGGTTTTTCTCCGGAAGGTGTACTTGCTGTACGTGAGGTCGGCAGGACTGGGGGTCGCTGCCGTCACCCTGCTTTCTCTTGCCCTCATGCAAGCGACGGCGGCGGGGTTTAGCTACTGGCTCTCGCATTGGGCCACCCAACAGGTATGATTAACGTTTCCCGAGCAGCCCCGGCGGCAGCAGGATGCCGGGAAACCATGGGTGGAATTGGGGGCGCCCAGCAAGTACGAGAAGGGCCTATTGGAAACGTCCCTCTGTTGTTCGTTGGCGACTGTTGTGGTCGTTCGCAGTGACGTTCTCCTTCTACCACGGAGGTGCGACACGGTGTCACAGAGACGCGTTCCTCTGCGATGCAGTACGTTCGGTAGCGAGAACGTTCCTGGCAGAGTGCACGCACGTCGTGTGCGCTTTCAGCAGCTTCGTCGTCGCAAATGTTGTACGTACGAAACGCCTCCCAAGTGTTGCATTCCATTCATGACAGCCGTCTTGGTGACTACCATCCCCAAGTTATGGCAAGCGCGCCACGCGAAGACCGCTCACAAACTCGTTCATGTCTGTGTTGGCTCTTTTTCCGTCTGTGGAGAACACACAGCTCACTCCTTCCGGCTTCTGAAGGGGTGCGTAGTCTAACACGATGGCTGGGGGTCGAAGGTGCATGCTCATCGACGTCTGCTTACCGCCATTCGGCAGCATCCCTAGCCCCAAGACGGCATCCCTTGCTTGCATACTAATTTTTTGTAGAAGGAGGGTTGCAGAAATTGCGGCCGCAACATGCGGTAGACAGAGATGCTTTGTCCCCTCTGCCCGCCTTTGCCTCCCCCCCACCGCTCTATTCTCCAGCCCATCATTTCGTTTCAGATTGGTGGCTTTGGTTCAGTTGTCCATTTGAAACCACGAAAACAAGCCTTTTGGCTTCATTTCGTATGTCCGCTAGTGTTCGATTGAGAAAGCGCCCTTGGCATCATACAACAGAAGTTCGAAGTGAAAACTCCAAGCAACCACGTCTCTCTCCCTCCCTCTGTGTGTGTGTGTGTCTGTCTCCCTTGCTGTGTACCTCGCTTTATCGGCCCTTGCGTCCACGGCACCCTGCCGGTGTTGGCGTTGCGCGGTCGCGGTCGCGTGCAAATGTGCCGCAGGGACGAGTATCTGTGAGGTCGTTCCTCGCGACGAGCTTCTCGATCGCCGCTGCCAACGCGGCCTTCACGCTCGTCAGGTGAGGAACAGGGTTTGTAAGTGCAAGAGACCCCGACGTGGCTAGTACCCTCATTGCAAGCATCTCTCGCTCCACACTGCTTTTGCTTTTTTTCGCGCGCCTTTTATATTACTCGTTTCATCCGCATCCTGCCACGTCATGGTTAGGGGGAAATTCGACCAAGCACTACCTACACTGCTGTGCCGTTCAAAGTTATCTTTCAAAGTTGTGCTATTGCTCAAATTCTACGTATGGCTCTAGCTCTGCCCGCATGTTCCATGTTTAAAAACTAAATTGCACCTCGCCATGATTGAGTCAATCCATGGAGCGAGAGGTTTCATTGCTGTATGCTGTGCCGACAGGCTCGCGTGGCTCATCCAGACACGACCAAGAACGACACTTGCCGTGTTTGCACAGACACGCTTTTCACCGGCGACCGCGCGTACGTCCACCCGACACCAACAATAACAAATGCCAAACAAATCCTGAACCAGCAAAATTGATGGCAACAAGAGAGAGAGAGAGAGATGAAGAGAAAGAGAGAGAGAAGGAATTGTCTGTTCGAATTTGTCTTGTATGTGACGCCGTAGGGCGCTTTCTCGTGGCGAGAAATCGAAATACTTCAACAAAGCTTGCTTCTGCCCACAAATCTCCCAGGGCTTTCGGCTTCGCGTTCGGCGGAGTCCGAGCGGCGGTTGCCCTTCACCGGCGGCTGCTATCCCACGTCCTCGGCAAGCCCTCGGCGTTTTTCGACGTCACCCCTTCGGGCCGAGTCGTCAACCGCTTCAGCCGGGACGCGTTCAGCGTCGACGACCCCCTGCCATTTCACCTCAACGTCCTCCTAGCGCAGGTAAGGTTTTCGTGTCAAAAGTTGATTGATCTTCCTCGTCCTCGTTCTCAAGGCTCTTGTTGTTGTTGTTCGCTCTTTCTCAGGATGAAAACTTTTGCGAAAGGTCGTGATGGGTCGGCAGGAGCTTGCGAACGTGTGAACGTCGGCAATGCCACCCTTTTCTCACGCATGCGTAGAGGACTTGGTTTGGCTCGTCTGTTTTGGGGTTGTCTCTCTGAGTCTGAGGCTGAGCTTCGTTCAAGGATGAAGACAAACGGGACAAGGCTTGCGGTAAGGTTTTGAGGTGATGGACATGTCTTCGGAGGCGCGGCAAGCTTTGGGGCTTCTCTGGGGTGCGCAGAGAGCGGCCGTCGTACGTGCTTGCACATGTCTTATCCCCGGATCGAACTGCCGCTTGCACACCCCATTGCAGCACTCTTTTCACCGCCTGAGAAATTGCCACCCAGCCCCCCCTGTTCCAATTTCTTGTCGCGGTACTTTTGTTATACCGCGGCACGCCGCCGCTTGCCGTCTTGCAACACACCCGATGAAAAGGCGGCCGGACTGTCGGTGACGGCCGTGGTGCTGAGCTCCGCCAGCCCCGTCCTCGCGGCGCTGTTCCTTCCCCTCGGCTGGGTCTACGCCAAGCTGCAGAGATACTACCGCAGCAGCAGTCGCGAGCTCCGGCGCTTGGACTCCACTTCCAGGTAACGTCGCTTGTGAACGTGAACAACTGAACCCGTGACGACGTTTGGATGTCGAAGACTTCTTCTCGTCGTTGTGGCCGCGCAGCCGGTGGAGTTGAGTGACGGGGTAACCTTGGGCTTGGGCTATTCAATCATCGTGGGGGTGGGACGAGGTTGCTATTGGTTCTGTTGCGCCGGTTGCTCCGACCTAGCCCGCCGAGGTACAAACGTTCTCGAGCCCCTGAGGCCATATGCTGCACCCTCCCTACCGCACTTGCACCTGTGCCTGGCCCTACGCCCCGCTCTGGGCCAGATCACCCATCTATGCCTTGTTCTCGGAAACGCTGGATGGGGCGGTCACCATCCGGGCCTTCGGCCAACAGGTAACCTAGGCAGCAGCGTTCTGAGTCGCGCTGCGCATTGGTTGCTCTTCATTACACAGCAGTGCAAGGCTTCTTCTGTGGGTGGCTGAATGCTTGGCCTTCCTCTCCCACATCTGAATCGCGCATTTGTGGTTGCAACAGCAGTAGTCAGGCACACATGCGTCGTTCCCTTCCGCTTGGACGGCGCTTTTGTTAGGCTTCCGCCTCTGATCGTTCGTTTGTCGCAACGAAACGATACCCTAGGGACGCACTATTCTTCCTACCGGGATTTGTGGAGGTTTAGAGGTCGTCTGGCCAGGACCACCTCATCTCAGATGATGCGTGCCTCTAGAACCAAGCTGACCACCCTGTTCAACCGCTCGTCACTCTCGTACAACGGCTTTCTTGGTACAATTGCCGTTGTCGTTTTTGTCCTCGTCGCGACCTCTTTCGTTGGTGTGTGGCAGTATTAGGTAGAATCGGCCGCTCTATTTTTAACTTTGGGTATTCTTGTTTTTGTGGCGAGTGGCAATGAACACGGCAGATGTGTTTATTGTACCATTTTGTTTATGGCCCATGTCCTTGTGTTGCAAAAAATTACTATGGAAACATTTTTTTTGCTGCCGGGTGCACACGTTCCATCTTCGAATTTCACCCACGCGAAGGAGGCGTTCTTTGAGAGGTTCGTCGATCTGTTGGCGGAAAATCAGCGGGCGACGTTCGCGGGGTCCATGGCGTCCGCCTGGCTGTCGCTCAGGCTGCAGGTGCGAACACGTGCTGTATATGTTTGAAAGCTTTCCGACGCCGGTTCATGTTGTTTTCTGGGTGTACGTGCACAATCCGTTTCGATATCGAATATCGGCGTGCCAGCTTCCCTCGATCTGCCTGTGCGTACTGTTTTATTTTGTGTGCCTTCCAACCATCACTATTAGTGGTCCTCGTCGCACACAGCGGGTGTGCAATTCTCTAGGCGGGCCGTCGTTTGAACGGCTCAAATCCACAATCTCGCGTCGCTGCCAATACATGCAAGAAACCAACGTTTCAAGGAAGATCATGGCGAGAAAGGAGTGGAACAGCTCTTTGAGATAGATGACGCATATGCCCGGAGATAGGTATTTGACTGCTTTTGACTGCGACAACAGACTTAGTCCACGAGAAATTTTCCCGCTTGTTTCCCTCGTTGCTTTTAGGCTTATAATCGACATTGAATGATTGCGGCCACCGCAATTTGATTCGAACTGCTCTCGTGTTTCTTGCTTGCTTTTGGATAGCTTGTCTCATTTTGACAAATTTGGCGTTCAAACATCTTTAGATGTGTTGTACGCAAAAAACAGTGTTTTTGACTACCCTTGGTTGCTTTGCCTTTCTCTGAAGCCAACTTTATTGCATGTGATGTGCTGTATATTTTCCCTCCTGTCGACGGGCAGGGTTTGGGGGTCGTCGTGGTGGCCGCAGTGGCGTTTTTGGCCGTGGCACAGCAACAGCTTCGGGGCGGTGGGGGACGAGATGAAGCGCTGGGTGAAAGCCTTGCCGCTATCACCAACAACCCCAACAGCTACTACGGCCTTGTCGGCCTGAGTCTGACGTACGCTCTGCCGATCGTAGGTGTGATCATTTTTTGTAATCTTGGTGTGTCAGCTCGGGGAGGACCACTGCACTTTGATTTTTGCATGTCGTCAGTGGTATCTCATCGCCTCCGTGGTTCCCTCTGTAAGGCTCCTGCAGTGCGGATTTTTTCACACCGTAACCAGTTATCCTTGCTTGCTTCGACCTTATCTCTTGATTGAGATGCTGCACCCCCTCGGCTCTCCGTTGCTTCGGCTTGGAACAGAAAGAAATTCTTGAACCGGAAACTACGTGCGGCACACAGTGGTGGTGCGTGCACGCCCGTACAGCTAGCCGTGCGAGTCCGTAAGGGGCTGGATTCCCTGCTATGGCTAGTCTAGATGTCGACAGATGTTCTGGCTTTCCGAGTCGCATTCTCTCGTTCGATTTGTATTTTTCTACCCCTCTGATTTGCTTCCTTCCGCCGCGGGAAAACCTATCGGATCCATAGCAGTCGAGGTGTACGCTCCGGTAATCTTTTTCGTCGTAGTCGGCGTATTTGATTATCCGCTCCTTTCGTTGCCATGGTGCGTGTGAAGGCAATCTGACGGGACTGCTAGGCGCCCTAACCGAGACGGAGAGGGAGATGATCTCCGTCGAGCGGATGGACGAGTACTGCCGCGACAACGGTTTCGACAACACTCATTCCAGCAGCAGAAGTAGCAGCAGCAGCAGCAGCAGCAGCAGCAGCAGCAGCAGCAGCAGCAGCAGCAAC